CACGATAGTGTGTGTGTGTGTGTGTGTGTGTAGCATTTAAGAACTATAGGAAAGTTGTATGTTTCATCGTTGCTATATTGCACCCTAACTGGCTCGTCTCCTTCCCTCCACCCTTCTGTAAGGAGATTTGACCCAATTGTTAAATATTTTCTGCTTTGTTTTCTATTAATATTTTTCTTTGTGTCATTGTTGTTGGGTTGTTTGTATTCTGTCTTGATTTTGTGTGATTGTCTGTTTATGAAACCCAAAATGGTTTGACCTATAGAGACAACAACCGGATTAATGGATTCAACAGGACAGGACACGGGAGGCTGGCAGGGAATGGGGAGCTATGTGGATAAGGAAGAGCAAATGTCCTGTAGTTGATTATGGTGCTGGTTGCCCAACTCTTCTGGCTACGATTGAACTATTGAAATGTATGATATGTTAATTGTATGTTGGTAAAATTGTTAAAAATAAACCACTAAATTAGGGAGGAAAAAAGCTAACAATCTTCTCAGGGGGAAAAATAGTTTCCTGTTATCTTTTTGGTATGAGTTAATGCTAGAAAGCTACCTCCCCTGGATCAGCTTGCTACTGCAGTCAAGAAAACAGCTAGCTATCGATATCTGTTGAGTTGCTACAAAAATATCTTGAAATTTGTTGACTTAATCAATAGTTAGAGAGCTATGTTGGTGACTGATGCCCACTTAACCTGTCATAATAACTCTTATTATACCCAAACCACCATAAGCCAAGAAAAAATTAGAACTAGTTTCCTCCTGATAACAGCTTACTCTCCAATCATCACTCACCTGAGATCTTATGATGTCCCTGTCTTTCTTGTTTTACATTTTCTACACTCCTCTCCCTATGACTGGTGTCTTTCGGTCCCAGCTTTTATCTTCTTTCCCCGCCCTTCCCTCTCGTCTGCTTTATATTTTCCTCTCTGTTTCCTCGTCCTTATCTCCCTTTCTTCTTCTCTCTGACTACAGATGGAGTTAGAGAACTTCGTTGTAATTTTAGTTACAGGATATATTTTGGAACATACCCTTTTCCTAGCTTAAAAAGACATCTTTGAGGTGACTAAATTTCTAGGACATACATTCCTTGTTCAGTACATGGGCAATGGCCACATGAATGCAACAAAGAATCTAATCTTTAGACACTCTAGGGAAAAGTGACTTAAGTTGCATTTGAAGAAGATGTGTGGGCTGCTTGGTGACCTTTCCTCTGTCTCCATGAGTAAGTGACTTTCAAGGAAAAACTAAGATTCTCTTCCCACTATCATGTACACCACCAAATAATTTGATTTACCTGAATTAAACTGGCTCCTAACAATATCATTGCTAATCCATACAGTGTTTTCTTGGTGTGAATTAGTAAATGGACAATACCTACACTTCAGAACACAATTTTCCCCCTGTTGGAACATATTCATGCTAAACTGATTGTTTTTAAAACCCACATTAAAAAAACCTTCCCTTTACCAAAAAAATGTGATGATAAATATTCACATCTATGCCTCTTTCATTGTGAGTGGTAGTCCTAGGACTGTGTACCACACAACCACTCACTGCGGAGAGAGGTGGGATATGGGTGATGATGAGTGGTCCGTTGATCAGAGCTTTTGGGTAACTTTCTAGACTCCCCAAATACTTTATACCTGCAGATTTTCCAGGAAGAAAAGACTTTAAAAATGGATTGATTTTTGCCAACAGAATATGCACGGATTACTCTTTGCTCTGACTGTTTTTGATTGTGCTGTGTATAATCATTGGATGATGTGATCATGAACAGCAGAGAGTTTCTGAGTTGGTTAAGAATGGAGGATGTGGGAACCGATTACATGGAACTGTGTGTGACCTCCTCCCTGGGGGACAGACAACCAAAAAGTGGATGAAGGGAGACGTCGGACAGGGCAAGATA